GGGGGGGGGGGGAGGGGGTGCGTCGGTGGAGAGAGATTAACCTAAGAACTTGTACGTATATATGCATAACCCATGGACACAGACAACAGTGTGATGAAGGCCTGGGGGAAGGGAGAGGGTGCGGGAGGAGGGGATCAATGGGGGGAAAAGGGGACATTTGTAATACTTTCAACAATAAAGATAATTTTTTTTTTAAAAAGGAATACCACTGAGTCAATCAAGATCTCATGTAAAAGAAAAGTTTTACAAGTTTGAGTTTTGTAGAGTGTCTTCACTCTGTAGATGTTCACATTTATAGCCTGGTGGAAGTGAGGGGCAGTGGGTGAGTATTAAGTGATTTGATTATCTAGATTGAAACATTTACAAACACCAGCACAGTGATTTTCAACCAATGGTATTTTTACCCACCAGCAAACATTTGGCAATGTCTGAAGATATTTTTCATTGTCACAACTAGGAGGGAGGGTGTTATAGAGGAAGTTAAATTTTCTTTTCTTTCTGCACATGCCTGATCTTTACTAGATTTTAAAGCGTTTTTATCCATGATCCCATTCCGTCTTCTGATAAATAAAATTACACCGATGGAAGCTGGTATACTGCCCTGGTCCACCCTCCCAATTGATAATCACTGCTCTATTTTAGGCATATGCCCATAGCCAAGCAGAGTAAGTCAAGCTTTACCTTTTATATTGTGAAAATAGGCATATTCATATTCCAAACAAGAGTCTTAAATATGATTTATCAAATGTTGTACTACATTTACATGTTCCAGTCTCCTATTGATAAGTATGTGTCCTTATTTAAAAAATTCTATTAGCTAATATTCCCATGGTGCTTACTATATACACTGTACTCTCACTTTATATAGATTAATTCTCATGATACCCTTGTAAGGAAGAAAAGGCTCAATAAAAAAATATATATATTAGGGTTTCCTCTAAAGGTAGGCTTCTGTTTCTGGCAATAATGGATTAGTACTTTTGACCAGGCCTCCTGCTTAGGACAACTGGAAAAGCTGAGCTAAAAAGTAATTAATAATTCTTTTTAAATAACTATTTATAGGCACCAGAGAATTATCCAAACATTAGAGAAGAAAAGCCAGAAAGAGAGGTGAGCCTGACATTTGGGACTATTTTCTCTCTAACAGTATCTGTCAATTCTGGAAGAGGGGAAAGACAATAGAAATCTGAAAATGGGTTTAACAGAGGGATGATCTAAATATGCCAAAATGGAAGAACCCTAGTTAACAATTCAAGTTTTGTACTGAAACCCTGAAAGGCTACACTCTAATAAAAAGATGAACCAAAACTTAACCAGCCTCAGATGCCAAAGCCCAGCTTCAATACAGTTCAACCCCAATTGCAAAGTAGTGACCTGAAATTGTTAGTGTCCCCATCTGCCTGCCAGAAGCAAACAAATCTTCTATGGAAGAAGATACTGCCCTAGGCCTCATTACTGCAATTTTTCATATACAATATCTAACATTCAATCAAAAATAACCAGGTACATGAGGAAACAATAGCACACTTGAAAACCAAGGAAAATCAAGATAGCAACAGAACCATAGGGGATGGAATTACCTGATACAGATTTTAAGATAATTATGCTTAAAATGTTTAAAGAAGTGAAATTGGTATTTCCAGCAGAAAACTATAAGTCTTTAAAAAAAAAAAAAAAAAAAAGATAAAAATTCTAGCACTGAAAAATACAATTTAACAAATCAATAACAATAGCAGATAATGCATCTAAAGCACTTAGCAACAAAGTTTGGCACATAGTAAAAGCTTAATAAAGGTTACCCACTAAATTATTACATCCAAACTATACACAGGGTGTTTGAGAAAACAAAATACAACCCCATACATAAACACACCACATAAGGCAACTTTAGACTAAATCTCCCATTACCCTCACCCCTAGGAAAAAAAAAAAACAGAATTTATGCTTTTTTCCTTAAAATGTTATAAAAATTCAAATGCACAGAAAATTTAACACTCCTCCACAAATATCCAATTCTATAAAATCCAAACATTATGCCACAAAATCTTCATGTTAAGAAAGGAGACATTATAGACTCAAAGGAAGTGTTCTATATGCTTACCTGACACTGGATTGCTTCTACCCGATAAGGGTTAAAACTCTTGTGGCATTTGCAACAGAGTTGTTTGAAATAAACCTAAAGAGAAATGTCTTTTTTTAAATCCAAGTTTAGATGTACCCTAGGCTCCCAGTTTTTAATATAACTAACCCATTCCCTTCCCTTATATCACCAATACAAGTGATTTCTAGACTTTGTGCATTTCCTGTGCACTTCCTCCCTACCTTACTTGGTGAACTATTTATCCTTTAAAATCATGCTCAGACATCACAATGCCTTCCCCCAGATAAGGTTACTCATCCCCTCCTGTGTTATATCTGTACCATGTCTATGCCATAGATGCCTCGTTGTCACCAAAGCACATTCTGTGTCTGTGTCACTGCTATCAGTATAAATGTCTTGAGGATAAGTTCTATGAATTGTTCTTTGTATCCTAGTGTCTTGGAGTGTTTGAATTAAATCCACTGTTTTTCTTCTGGCAAGAAAAGGAAAGTACTTTTAGTTTAAAAATCTATTTGCCTTCAGGTATAGTAAATGACTACTGTGAAAAGTCCTGTTTCCATTCAGGCCTTAGCTCACCTCCTCCCTCTACAGTTAGGGACTCCAACACAAACGCTCATAGAAGTTGATGAAATAAACCAGGTGTAGACTGTTACAAAATGAAGGGAAAGGAGAGAGAAGCTGCTTGGGGCCCCAACCTACTGTTCTCATACTGAAACCAAAATCTATGCTGTGATTGTTCAGGAAAATCTGAAAATATGGACTGTGAAATCTTCCCCAATCGGAATATGTTGACAACTAATTCAAAGGGAGGAACGTCCTTAGCCTAAATAAGTCTCTCACAGGCTAACCTTTACAGTAAATTCCTTCTCTTATTGCCCCACCTTGTGGACAGATTGGAAACTCCCTATTGCTAATGCCCAAACCTGTTCAAAATACACACTGAAAAATGATTACACAAAATCCTAATGTACACAAGAACAAGTTCATCTAAATAATCTGAAATTTTGTCCAACAGAACTACCAAACCCAACAGAACAAACACCAGGACATGGGTCTGCAGCCTTGGGAGGTCATGTGGACTGTCCAGTTCAGTTCAATTCATTTTCTGAGCACCTGGCATGGAGGATGCCAAGATGAATGAGACAGCATTGTCACGCTCCATTAGGAAACACATTCTTCCTCCACTTAACATCTGTGCCTGCCCCACCCTCCTCCATGTCCCATACACTTTTACTCACCTTACTAGTTCCAGAAATGCACCACACATAAGCACTCTCCCATCTGGTCTTACAATCTTTACAGTGAAAATAGGCATATTTTCGTTCCAAAAACTGCAAATAAAAGGGGAAGTGCCTTTTATTACCCTGGAGAGAAGGGGAAGCCAGATCCTTCTTTGCTTGTGGTTTTGTATAAGAAATACAAAAAGCCTCCTTAACCTCACTCGCAGCTGTTCTCAAGGTTACTACATTAAATTATTGTCTCATCTCCGAAAGATTATCTGGGATTCTTCTCCCTGCTGCCTCTCATTTTCTCAATCCATTTTCCACAATGCCACTAGTACAGTCTCCTCAGAATGAAATTCTGATCACATATTTCACAGACTTGAAGCTCTTCTTCACCTCCTCATCCCCAATTAATAATGATTGCCAGTCTTTCTGTTTGCACATGTTTAAAGCTGACACTCTATTTCACCAAAAAGTTACAAAACACAGAGGCCATATAAAATACACGTTTTCATGCCCAGCTGGGTGGTTCAGTTGGTTGGAGTGTCATCCGTGCACCAAAGTGTTGTGGGTTTGATTCCTGGTCAGGGCACATACCTAGGTCGTGGGTTCGAGCCCCAGTCAGGGCACTATAGGAGGCAATCAATTGATGTTTCTCCCATCAATGTTCCTCTCTCCCCCCCCACCCCCTTACTGTCTCTCTAAATCAATAAGCATATCCTCAATAAGGATTTTTAAAAAAATTTTTAATACATGTTTTCAGAACTTCTTCTGTTTCATCAAATAAAGGGAGGAAGCCAGGGAAGATTTTGCTCTTATTGCCCCAGAAATTAAAAAGAGGAAAAAAAGGAAGGGGCTACCAGAGGCCTGAGAAGGGAGAAGACAAAGTTCACCTGGAAGCTGGGTTTCCTGAGTGGATGGGCATCCCCTTGGGCCTGCTTGCTCTGCCTTTCCCCAGGACTCAAAGCATCTTCCTCCAGCAACTTGTCCTGCTGCCAGAATTCCTCCTGTTTGTCCTCTTGTGACCTTGGCAGTGGTGGTGACTTCTGCTGCTGCTGGCTGGCCTCCACAGGACCTGAAAGCGCCTTCCTCTCTTCATCCTTCCCATCCTTCTGCAGCTGGATCCAGCCCCTGGGGCCCTTCACTGGTGAATAGAGGTCCCAGACTGGGAGGGGTGCCTTGAGGTCCCTGCAGCCCCAAGAAGAGCAGCTGCGCAGGGTAAGAAGGCCCAGTGAACACTGCACAGACCTGTCCACACATAGGCTCACCTGCACGCCCACCTCCTTGGTGTTGGCGTTGCACAGCCGCAGGCCTAGGCTGGGGTTCATCTGGGAGAGAATGGCCTTAAGCTGTGCCCTCTTGTAAGGATCAGTGCAGTAGGCCCAGGCATTCGTGGGCACCACCAGCCCCGTCCTGGCCAGGAAAGTGGGGGCACCAGTGTTTTGCCTCCAGTCAGGCTGTTGGTGGTCAAAGAGTCCAGGCTGGCCCAAAGGCAGTGTGTTCCCATAGTGTGGTCCCTGGTACAAGCCCTGGGGAATTCCGACAAAGTGCTCCATCCTCTGTCCAGGCTTAGCACAATATCCTGGTAACAGTTTGTTTGTGTCCTTGTTCTGCCTTCCACCTTCATCTGCGCCTTCTTTCTCCTGGTCAAGTTGGTTCAGGTTCATCCTAGCTTCTCCATTTATTTCAGATTCTGATGGAGCTGTTATTACCTAATTGAAGGGGGTGATGGGAGGAGAGCTACCTCCCTACAGAAGCCTAATTGCCACCTGATTTGAATTGTTCTTCCCTATCTCTTCAATTCACTGCTCCTGAATCTCTTTTCAAAGCTGTTTTCATTACTTATTCACACACATGCTATAATTAGCCATCATTTATTTATTCCCATAGTAATGTACCATTTAGATATCATTTTATTTATTTATTTTAAATATATCTCTATTGATTTCAGAGAGAAGAAAGGAGAGGGAGAGAGAGAAATAGAAACATCCATGATGAGAGAGTCATTAATCAAGCCCGCAACCCGGGCATGTGCCCTGACCAGGAATCGAACCTCGATTGCCTGGATCCTAGGTTGACGCTCAACCGCTGAGTCACGCCCGGCCGGGCAGATATCACTTTTAAAGTATATAAGAAAACGAATATAAGAAGTAAATTATTTGAGCAGCCTTATACTANTCACGCCCGGCCGGGCAGATATCACTTTTAAAGTATATAAGAAAACGAATATAAGAAGTAAATTATTTGAGCAGCCTTATACTAGAAGAGTGTAAGGGGGAAAGTACATTATTATGGCAGGGTTAATGAAAGTAAAGACCAGAGAAGCCAGGAGCAAAGTTATGGAGGGCAAGGGTTATATATAGTGAGATGAGATATATTTCAGAGGGTTGTATGACATGTCAAAGGTTCTTAGTACACTCCTAGTGAGGACCACCCACACACCCCCAAAAGGTGAGGGGAAGCAAATTGTTCTGATTTAGTGGGTGAATGCAGATTTAATAGCAGGATAGTTAAGTATCTGAGGTCAAACCTACTTGAATTGAAACCTGGGCCTTGTTAGCAGGCAAGTTATTTAACGGATTCAGTTTCCTCACATAATTATTTTATAGGTTTATTATAAGATTAAATTTGAAGCACAAACCAGACTCACAAGTTCAGTAAGCGGCAGCTATTGTTAG